TCTCTCTCTCTCTCTCTCTCTCTCTCTCTCTCTCTCTCCATCTCTCACTCTCTCACTCTCTCACTCTCTCACTCTCTCACTCTATCTCTTCCCTTGTGCATTGTTGCTCTGTCTATCTATCTATCTCTTGCTTTATCTCCTTTTTCTTTATCCATCATATTCTCTTTTTCAAGAGGATGAGATTTTGAAGATTCAGCAATTTTGTTTTCAAATAAAAAAGTATCATTTCTTCTTAAGGCCATTGCCGAAACTTTAGGTTCAGCTGTATCACGGATTATAATCAAAATTTTTTATTTTATTCTTGATGGCTGTGCAATAAATGAAAAAAAGCATCAATATTTTATTGAAATGAATTTATCGTTTGATTATAATTAATTACATAATTTATGAATTAATATTATAATATTAGTTAGATTAATAAATGACACTACTTAATCAACAGAAAGAAAGGGAAAAGAAATAATACTATATGAGATTCATACAATATTACGTTTCGATTTTATCCTGGATAAAAGAATAAAAAGATTTTCTTATACATAAATTATACTTAACTTATATTTCCTTCTTTTATAACTTAATACATTTTAAAACTTTCATCTGCAATACATATGTTAATATATCATAACAAATATAATTTGATTATTAATTAAAGTAATTATAATATTAGTTTAAATAAACTATAAAAAAATTTATTATAATATAAAAACAAATTAATAAATAAAGAAAAAATGAAAACAGAATAAAATTAATTGCATGTCGTAGAGAATATAAATTAAGTAATATAGTATCTTTCATGATAGATAAAGCATATTTCATTAATAAATCTCGTACGCTTATTTTTGAAACTGATCAGATAAAAGGATGAAATATAAGAAAAACATCTTTAATTTATCAAAAAAAAAAAAAAAAATATATATTATAGTAAAACATTAATTGGAGATAATAAAAATATTAATTGTTCTCTGTAACATTCTATTTCACATTAAATATATATATATATATATATATATATACGTATGCAAAACTTTGTCTTAAACTATTGTTAATATTAATTATAAAACATATTTAAAATTTAAATGAATTCAGTGATTAATTATTTATTGATAATTGTAAAAAGTTATTTTCCATATTATAGATTATAAATTTATTTAATATTATACAATATTGATACCTGAGCTAAAAATACGTTTTGAAGTAAAACAATATTAATGAAAGTTTATATAATTTTCAAAAGTTTAAATCGTGACGGGCTTAAGTCCATATATAAAGAAAACATCAAATATTTAGTTAAATTGTATAGAAAAATATTTTATAAAAATACAGTATAATTATTTATAAATTTTTAGGCTTAGTAAAGCCAAGTAATTTTACTCTAAACCTACAATACTCCAGCTTAAAAGTGTTCTAAGCTTGAATTATAATAATTAATTTTATTCACAGACACACTTTTATAAATGGATAAGGGATCATAGAACCCACCACAAGTTTACTGAAACAGCAGCGGACCCACACGATGCGAATCGTGGATTTTTTTTCTCACACGTGGGCTGGCTGATGATGAAGCGTCATCCAGCTGTGAAAAAATATGGCAGTAAAGTCGATATGAGCGACGTTACAGCTGATCCAGTCATTCAATTTTTCGACAAGTAAGTTGTTATTTAATTACAGTGTCAATCTCTTTACATTCTCTTTTGCTACTTTAGATTTTGAAAATTGATAACTTTCGCGTACGTTAAAGGACATTCTGAGTCTGCAAAAATAACCGTTGCACGGTTTTATAATCAGATAAAATAATACGCTAAAATTCGAATAAGAAAATCCCTTAAACCTTTTTATTTTTAAAGGCGTTAAAAAAAAAAACCCTTATACTAACTCTATTTATTGCGACTTATATGGGATGGGAGAGACACATTTTTTACTTTGTAAGAAATTTATGAAAAATTAATCCATGTATAATATTCAATTCTTTTTATATGATATTCGCGTACACTAAATAAATTATGAAAAACAATCTAAACGTACTTTTTCTTTTAAATTGTCTAAATTTCTTAAATAAGTCTAAAGCGACATGCAGACATGTGTATAATCGTAACTCGATCTACAGTCAAATAAAAAAAAAAACAGTCTTTTGTAATATTTAACATTATAATCGTAATTGTAGTTTCTTGTTCTTACTTAAATTAAGCGATTCGAAGAAATTGAAAACTCATGGTCGTTTTAAATTTTTTCAAAACCAGTCCGGATATTTTATCATCTTAAAGCTGTAAAAAAATTAATCTATCCGCGTAACCTGACAGTAAAATATCGCATAATAAGTAGATGGAAAGGATCCTTCAAGCAGTTCCAATCTTATAAAAAAAAAAAAAAAAAATTGGAAGCTCAAGCAGCTTTTCCCCTAACCCTGACTCATCCTTAATCCTCTGTCGGGTGCAAGGAAGTTGTGTGTCAAATCTCAGGCGCCGATGCAGCGCAAAAGCTATAAAAGCGCGTAATCACTTTTTTTCGAAACTTTTGACAATCTTCTTATACTTATTTACAGGTACTATGAATTGATCATGTGTACACTGGCCTTCGTCATCCCGACCCTCATCCCGGTCTACATCTGGAACGAGAGTTGGTACATTTCCATTCACGCAGTCATCATACGCTACGTATGGCTACTTAATGCGACCTTCCTCGTCAATAGTTTCGCACACATGTGGGGAAATCGGCCCTATAATAGGTACGTGCCAAGTTCCAATGCTTAACGCACTTGTGTTCGCACCAATGTGACGGAGCTGCTGACGTACGTGATATGCATTAGATATTCCGAGAACTTTGTTGGGGGAGGAATAACACGGCTCAGTTCGAAAGAGGTTTTCTACTTAGAGAAGCCACGAAGGAATGTATTCCGAGTCCCTTGTGGGGTTTCGTGCCTTCATAGTTTCATTGGGAATTAATAATCTCCACGATGGCGTACCTGCTCTTTTTATTTATTTATTTATTTTTTTTATTATTCTCGAGAATGAGTATAGTAGGTCTCTATAAAATTATTATTTTGAATTTTCGAATTTGTTAGTCCGTTTCAAATGGTGAAAACATTTTCTTTACACTTCATAATTATTCGTAGCTCTAAGCCAGTGATATAATACAAATTATTAACAATAGGTAATTTAAGATGGTTTTTGAAACAATTGAGTGAAATTTTTGTTTTATACCACTGCCCGTGAAGTATTTATCTTTATTAACAATGCAATAATAATATATGGGTGTAATAAAAATATTATAATATTGCCGCGTAATTGTAATATCGCCAAATAATAATCTCTGACTAATGTAATGAATGTTGTCTTCCTATCGAGTTGTTTGCACCATTACCATCTTTATCTTAAACCTTAAAGTGTGCACTTTAACTTTAACGTAACAGTATGCCCAATTACTCGTCCCTTTTAAAGTCGGCTCTCTTCAAAAAGCAACAATTAACAAACGGAAAGGCAAGCTAATAAAACCGATGGGCCGAAGTAGCTCGATCTCGATAACGTAAAATCCGCTAAAACGAGAAAAACCAATTTGTCCAGGGACGTGAAACCAACGGAAAATGCCTCGGTGTCCTTCTTTACACTTGGCGAGGGATGGCACAACTACCACCACTCGTTCCCCTGGGACTACAAAGCTGCGGAGCTACCGAGTTACGGCCTTAATCCGAGCACCGCCTTTATCGAGACGATGGCGCGACTCGGGCTCGCTTACGATCTCAAAACGCCGAGCAAAGAGCTCATAGCCAAAGTCAGTGTAAATAACGGCGATGGGACATACAGCCGATGGGGCATCGACCATCACCAACGAAAAGGAACAAAGGGACTCTGATTCACTCGATTCCACCAGAAGCAAGATTATTTAGTTGTCAGTGGTACTAGTAGTAGCGTATTGTGCAATTAAAATGCTGCGTTTTCTAATAGCTTCGCCTAATATCTTGAAAGCTGTGGAGGATTGAAGCTTCACGATTGCAATTATTTATAAGAAATGTGATAAGTATTCCCGATTCCCGACGTCGTCCCGTAGTATGTCCCGATAGCGAGTCTACGCTATGAAAATATATTAAAAAAATATATATCCCCAACATTTTCCTCCCCAGGGTATGCAGAATTTGTTCGTTAAGTAGAATTTATTGAATTTCAATGAAAAAACTTGACATATTTTTAAGTTATTACTATAACGATATCAGCTTTGATACATTAAATTCTATTAACGTAATTATTTAACAATAATTTAAAAGGGAATTCTTTTAACCGGTTAAATTGTCGCTTTGATGTGAAATCAATTTACTTGAATTTTAAGGTAATAGCACAACAACAACAACAACAACAACAACAATAACAACAACAACAACAATGTTTTTACATATTTTATTTTACAACTTTATTTTCACGTTTTAAAACGGAATGACAATCGTCGGCAGATACTGAAAATTTAATAAGCAAATTTTAATTCGTTAACAAAAATTATTATAATTTTATTAGTAGGTTTTGAATCAAGTTTTAATTATTATTATGAAGATTTATAAATATTTTACATCCATAGTATTTGGCAGAGTCTAAAAATTAAATGTATAATACATTTTGTATAATTTTTCTTCTTCTATGCATTACCATTGTATTAAATTTTAATAACATAGTCTGTAAATTTTAAGTTAATAAAATAATATACTGTACAGCATAAAATGATGCTATAATATGATGAGGTACACGTTCAGAGAATATCTTTGATTCATTTTTTACTTATGTGCTTGGTAGTATTAAAGAAAAATTTTATTACATTGCATTACGTAAATTAATTAATGTAATCAAGCCTGCGCTGTTACTGTAAAGTAAAGAAAGTACTAAAATAATATGGCTATTTATTGTTTATTACGCTATATTTTTTTGGTCTTTTTTTTCTAGTATATATATATATATATATATATATATATATATATATATATGTGGAAAATTAATCTGAGAAATAATCATCCATTGTATGAGTTAAAAAATCAAATTATCTTTACAACTTAGTGTTAACAGTTGGGAGCAATACATTTACTTCAAATGAAACAAAAAAGTTTATATGTCTTTTAATTATTACTATTATCATTATTGTTGTCAATTCGATTGAATTTATAATTAACTTGTTTTTTTATTTACAAAATATTTTCATACAATGTTTGTAAATTATGATTTCGTAGATGATATTTTCTAAATTTTAAATTCATTTTGTCTTCTATAGAAATGTATAACGCTTTAATAAGATTATTAATTATTTTGCTTATATGTACAGAAATGATTATTGTGAAAGAAATTTTATCGTAAATTTTTAAATAATTTGTAGATGGATTGTGTGAAGAAATTATTTTGTCAATATTATGTTGTTTTTTTTATTGTGTCTCCTTGCAAATATAAATCATCTATAAGTACTAGAACATCTTAATCTCTTCACTAGCCATACAAATTATGATCAACCTAGTTTATATGAGTATAAGAAATTTATTCGAAAAGATAAATATTTAATGAAATATAAATTTCCTACGTGTTCATCCAACATTCTATTTATAAAGACACTGTTAAAATTTGAAGGGAATCAGTTTAGAATTGTTCAAGTTTTGTTGCTAGCCAACTTTGAAAGCGTGGTTTTGAGAGAAATGCATTTAAAGTTTTAAGTATCCACAGTTCTTAACTACAAGATACATGGCTTTACAATTGCGATTAAAAAAAATTTTTTTTCACCAAAACTATTTTCTGGCTATTTGATACACTTCTACATGAAATTTAATTTTTAAAAGTCTCAATTCATAATTAAAAGAAGCCTTGATAATTGTATGCATTGTCTATTAAAATGAATGAATTCAAAAGAACAAAATTTGTCTGTCCTACTTAAGTAAGTTAAGAAGGCAAATTTTGTTCAATTCTTTCCTATTATTACCACCCTTCTATCATGATTCATTAGAGGATAATATTTAATTTATTGATATTTAGAAAATTCCTATTCTTGCACATAATTTACGATTTTGTTATCATTAGATAGTATAGTCTATTTGAGCCTGTTTTATCATCTGTTAATTCTTTCTTCTTAAGTTTAAATCGACTAAGAATGATAATTATTCTGTGAATGAAACGTTTTCTTCATCATTATTCATCATTCAAAAAGTTTCGTCATCATTAGCAATAATTTTTTATAGATGAATTGCTGAATATCGAATGAAAAAAAAAATTATTTATAGCCTTTGAATTAAATATGATAATTTAAAAACAGAGTTTAAAATTTGAAAATTTTTTCTAAACTTGTAAATACATATAAAATTTTTAATTATTTAATCAACTATTTCTCACAATGTATTATGAAATTGGTTATTTTAAACATTTTTTTTATAACACGGAAATATGAACATAAATATGGTATATTTAAATTGTAAAAATGGTCTCAAGTTCGTACGATTCATATTAAACAATATATTGTAATTAAATTAATCCTTAAATTTGTGTATTAACAAAAATTAATTTTGAATATTTCTATTACGTATATTATATTGAAATAATTCGAAAATAATTAAACTGGAAAATCACATCTGTCGAAAAAGCAAATTGTAGAATTTGCTTATGGTATTGCAAACAAACGTTTGAAAAAATAAACTTGCTCGATCGTTAAATATTACTGTTATTACCTTGTTCCCATATATATACAATCTTTTAATAGTTTCTTATTCACATTAAGCTTAATAAAATACTATTTTCATGTCAATATGTAATTGAGAAATCTTGTGTTTTAATTTATTTTGCAATGCTTTGATTTAAATACGTAAAAGCCATTTCGAAAGGTATTACCGACAAGTCTTGTATAGTTTTAATCAGTAGAAAAGTCGAGGCCAATACAGAAACTATCCTTTCCCAAACATTGAATAAGTTTTCGGTATTCAATATTGTTTTTTATCTCTCTGTTCGTTTGAATAGAAAGACATGCCTTAAAAGCATTTTAATTAGGCTTGGGCTGATCAACATACGAAACTTTTAATAAGAAATGACTCGCTTCCGCGGTTTATAAATTCTCCATTAACTTTTCAGAAGTTAAAAAGGATGGAGCAGGTAAGTAAAGTAAAAGTCATGAGCTTTCGAACTTTACTTATTTCTTTTGCATTCCTTTTCTATTTCTTTCATATCGTCTCCCATTCATACATTCGTACTTACGAAGGTACTGAACAAAAAAAAAAAAAAAAAAAAAAAAAAAACGTAATATGATACTCCTAATTGATCCCTCCATAATAAAAGTATGGATAAAAAGACAATGAGAAATGAAGAAATCATTGATTTAGAAATTTGATGTACGATAAAGGCTATGGCACACGTAGAGAAATCACTCTATTTTAGGTGTAATAAATAAAAGGTCGTGAGAATTATACTGAAATAAATATAAAGTAATATACACGCAATAAAGATAATTTAATAAAAGATATAAAAAAAAATTCAGCATACTCTTGTGCATGTAGATTAATGTGTAAATATATGCGTGAATCCTTGGGAAAATTTGATGTTTCGATATTAATAGATAATATGGTAAATACATTCGTATTATAATGTTAAAAAAAAAATTATAATATCAAGAGGAATGAACAGTAACAGATAATTAATACTTTATAACAGTTTCACCTATTTTGTCGACTCTATAAAGTCGCATAAAATCCTAAATTAGTTGTTGACAATAGTAATAATAATTGATAAATAATTTATTTCGTTAATATAATGTATACCATTAAATACAAAATACAAAATTAATTGACATCTTTTCTTTTTTTTTGTTTTGTTTTGGAGATTATTACAAATATAAAAAATTCTTTTTTTTGTATCTACATGTAGAAAATTCTTTCTTTAATTGATTTGGAAGTTTATTCAAATAAATTTTGACATTGAATATTTTTTTCTTTATAATTGCTGCTACTTTCGAAACTTTTTTCACTCTAGAGACGTTACTTATTTCAACAACATCACACTAAAATACATCATTTACAGATCCAATAATTCTATTATAAAAAGTAACATGCTCTTATTGAGGACTAACTCACTTTTAATCGACTATTAATGATTAATTCTTCTCTATTAAGTGTAGTTTGAAAGGCTATTGAACGAAAGCGTAAAATGAAAGCCATAAATTTATAAGCTCGTTTATACACCGAGTATAAATCAAGCTCAATAATTTCCAGTGAGCTTTTCCTTTATATAGCCATCAATATAATGTCAGTCGTATCAAAGAAATTCGAATAAATGAAGGGAGACAGTGCGAATAGAGGGAGCATCATTCGTTCGAATTCTTTAGGAACGGTCGCTCGCCCATCCAAAACACGGGACGGAAGCTAGACATATAATGTCCCCTGTGAGAGTGAGATTTATCGCGTGACATTCCTTGGCGGCTCATTTTAATTACGCGGACCACTTGCTTCAGCCCCTATGCTATACGGCACTTCCAATTCTATCCCCGCGAGCGTTAATAAATCGCGGCCGAGCGTGCATTTTTTCCCCTTTCCTTTTTGAACGCGAACATCTCTGCTTACAACAACGATGAAGTAAAAAGTAGCGCACGCCGAGAGCACTCATAAATTATTGTGGACAAACGCTCTCTCTCTCTCTCTCTCTCTCTCTCTCTCTCTCTTATTCAATGTAAAACACAAAACAACATTTTATGCGGCATTCCATTGTGCCTAGTTGTACGGCAGAGATTTATACGATTAACATGGGGCATCGGGCGCTTTTCAAATGTAATGCTCCCGCATTATCCAATATTCACTCGAATTCCGTTAACTTAATATTTGTTCTATTATTAATGCGCCACTTTAAAATAATAACACCTTCTAAAATATTCAGCATCCCGGACTTTCATTTTTAAATAGGACCTTCCAATTATGCTTCTATTTCATCCCTTAAACGCTCCATTGTGACAAATTCATTTATGTTATTCATGCAGGTGCCACTCTCAATCAAATATAAACGCTTAAATTATATTTTACAGTAAAAAAAA